TCTATTTGCATCTGTTTTATGGATTCCATTTGTTTCCTATGTTGGGATTCCATTATGTTCTTCAGCTCCTCTCTAGATTTATTAATCATGTCTTGCACTAGGAGCACAATTTCTCCTGTTGTCTGAGAAATTATTTCTGATTTCTTTTTTTCCAGATCCCCTTTAGTTGCTAGTTCCGTGGGTCCAGGTGGTTGAGTGTCAGAGTGTTCCATCTCATTTCCCTTTTGGGTTGCTGTAGGTGATCTGGAAGTCTGGTTTTGAGACTTATTTAGGTGTTTTCTCATTTCAACTGGGGGGGCAGGGGTTTACTGTTGACGTCTGCGTGGCTCACGTCTTCTGAGCTGTGAGAGGTGGGCCAAGGGTCAGGAGTGGCGGTAGGGATGGTGGCCTGAAAGCCCCTTCCTCTGGACCAGGAGCAGTTGGACGGCAGCTCAGAAGCCCCTACCTCTGGGCAGGAATTCTTTAAATGCTGAGAACTTTATTAGGTCCAGTACAGTGGTCTGGTGGTATGGTGTCCTCTGCATATTTGTAGTGTGGAACCAGGTGGCTTTACAGAGAAGAGGCCAAAGGAGTGGGGTGGTGCAGTGGATTCCTGCTGGGGCACGGGCTGATTCGGTGTTTTCAGCCCAACTGGCAACCAGTTTAGTAGAACTCTTGATGACATTGGCATAGGAAAAGACTTTATGAACAAAACCTCAGTAGTATGGGAACTAGCACAAAGAATCAACAACTGGGATCCCATCTGATTAAAAAGCTTCTGCACTGCAAGAGAAAACACCAATAGAGCTAAGAGACAATTTACAATGTGGGAAAAAATTTTAGCAGCTGTACCTCAAAGGTCTACTATCTAGAATATATAAAGAATTGAAAAAAATCAGATCCCCCCCCCAAATTCAAAGACCCAATACAAAAATGGGCATCTCAAATGAGCAGACATTTCTCAGACAAAGAAGTAAAAGTAGCAAATAAATATATGAAAAAATGGTCAACCTCAGTGGTCATTCCAGATACAGACAAACACAACACTGAGATTCCACCTCACCCCAGAAAGAATGGCTGCTATCAAGAAATCAACCAATAACAAATGCTGGCAGGGGAGTGGAGAGAAAGGAACCCTTCTCCATTTTTGGTGGGAGTGTACACTGGTGCAACCACTGTGGAAATCAGTATGGAGATAACTCAAAGAATTAGGGCTAGAAGTCCCATTTGACCCAGCTATTACCCTGCTGGGTATCTTCCCAAAAGAATTAAAAGAATCATGCCACAGTGATATATGTGCACCCATGTTTTCTAGCGGCACAGTTTGTAATGTCTAAAACTTGGAAACAGCCCAAGTGGCCATCAACTGGAAACTGGATAAAGAAGATGCAGTTTTTTTATAAAATGGTGTACTACTCAGCCATAAAGAACAAGAAACTAGAGACATTTATAGATAAATGGATGCATATTGAGGCCATACTCTTAAGTGAAATAAATAGGACACATATGTGTAAATACCGAATGGTTTCTCTAGTGTGAGAAGCTGAAAGTGTAAATAAAGATTAAAATTATTGAAGTGAATAATTGATAATTTGAAATAGGAAAAAGTCCAAAGGCGTAGGGGTGGTGGGAGGGGAAGAGGAAAGGGTAGAAGGGAAAGGAAAAAGTATAAGAAAAGAAAAAAAATGGAAATGAAGTCTTTGTAAATAGGGAAGGGTGGAGGGGGTGAAGGGTGCACAGGTAATGGGAAAAAAAAAGAACTAAGTTACATCATGCACAGGTACAAGCACCCAATGATAAATGTAAACTTATTGTATACCTAAAATGTACCAATAAAAGAATAAAAAAAAGAGTCTTGGAAGGACCTATGTGAGGAGTGTTGGATGGACCTACATGTAAAGTACCCAGCATGAATTAGGCATTTTATAAATTGGACATACCCTTCCCTTCCTATTGCTGTTTCTATGGACTGTTCACAGGTCACAGTAGAAAACAGTCTCCAAGCACTGAACAGCTGATCAATAATGGCTCTTTTATAGCTTTAGAAGATTTAGCTAAATTGGGTGATGTTTGTGAGTGCAACATTTTAAGGAACCTCAAAGAAATTTAAAGGCAATATTCAATGAACCATATGTTGTTGAAAGAATATTTCTCTATGACCACCTGAGGCCTTTATCTCTCTGTGCAGTGGAGAGTGGAGAATAACTGTCCAAAACCATGGGAGGCAGCGCCTTGTCTTGCTCTCTTGGACAGTGGTTTGCAAATGTCAGTATGTATTTCAAAGTCTTGAGGAACGTGTTTACAGATGCAGGCTCTTGGGAACAACCCCCACTCATTCTAATCAGTAGGTTTGGTACATTTATAAGCAGCATCCCAGGTGACTCTGATGTAAAGAGCATGCAGGTTTCCCTTTGAGGAATTGTATTTGACTGGAATATTTAGTACTCATGTGATAGCTATGAATGGGGTAGTGTAGGAGCCCAAGAAGGGCCTTTCTCTTCTTACCCGATCTCTCATCAGCATCTGGGCAGCATTTTTGTATCTAATCTTGATAATACCTGGCCTCTGAATCCAGGCCTCCCCATCCACCTGAACAGGGATACCTTCTTCACCATCAATAGTTATCATCAATTCACGGCACTGTCAGAGAAGAGGAGAATAGGGGAGAGAAATGAGGTAACCACTATAGATCAATCTAATAATCTCATAGTTATGAACTGAATGTGTGTCAAAGCAGTTCTGACAAAGATGTGAAACACATCATCTCAGGCAGAAACGTGTATTTCCTATGAACTTTTTGCTCCTTTGGTCCCTGCCACATCTGTATCCGAGATCAGCCGACACCTTGCTGCCCACCAAATAAGCTTATTCCTCAATTCTGGGACTTTTACACCCACTTAATTCCTGGGGCTATCCTATATCCTTGTTTGCAGCCACAGAACTCAGCCTCTTATTGGCACCCATTCAACTCCTGCCTACCTGGGCAATGCGATGATGATGTAAGTTGATGAGACGGGACATAGCCATCTGCGCAGAGCCAAAGATTGCTACTACTTCCAATTTCCCATCATCTATTGCAGGAGCCTCATATTCCTTAGGAGAAATAACTATGTCATATTTCCCACTGTCATGAAACCATACTTTGTCTATAACAAACAAGTATGCTTTGAAGATTCCTGGTAACGATTTTCTAGTTCATGAGTAAGGAAAACTGCATTATTAAAAAGGGAACACATGAAGGGAAAAGGACACAGAGATCACAAGTTTTAGCTCCTTTTCATATCACAGCTCATAGTCAGTTTATTCCCTCTCCAATTCAACATCGTAAATCCCCAAGGCCAGTCTTATTGGCCCCATGGCCTTCTTGAGTGAGCTCAGAAGAAAAGGTTCTTGGTCAGTTTCCCAGGAGATTTTATTAACAGACCACCTTAGAATAAAGAGCATGGCCTTGATAACATTTCAAGGATCTGTCAGGCCTGAGGAATGGAGAATTCCAAGCCAAGTGATGCCTCAGAGTAGACCTAAACCTAAGGTATTTGGTTAATTCTTGGGCTCTGGAATGGCAATTGCCTTAAAAAACAAAAAAACCCCTGATCTTTCAGTTGCTGCTAATAAAGGTTCTAAGCCCATCTCCTCTTCTACCATTGTTCACTTCCCACTCAAGGCAGCCCAACTCTTTTTCTGAGAGACCTTAATTGGTTCATGCCTTTCTCTACCCTGTTTTTTGTTCCATACTCACTGTGGCTGCTATGTTGCTTCCCCAGAAGTTGACACCTCCAGCATAGCTGGTAATGTTGAGTACAACAATGCCTTGCAGGTTTGGTAAGGAGATGGCTTCTCCATCACACTGGAAGAAAAGGGTCTTGTTGGCTGGCTTTTCAGATACCAATGTGAAGAAACATTTACAGAGATGGGGGGGGCTCTATCTTCTCCTTATACTACCATTTTCTTATCTATAAAGTGGAAACTCCTCTTAATGCCTTCTTCCCATGAGCTGCAAGTGAGGATCACAAAGTTAAAATCTGGAAGAACCAGGGCTACTGGGGAAAGTTGACTTCCAAGACCATGACATTTCTTGTCTCCATGCCTAGGAAGGACCACTTCCTTTTCTACTCACCTCCAGGTGTACTCGTTCTTCCAGTTTCCTGTAAGAGCGCTGCAAAAGTTCCTTGGTTCCCAGAAGGCCATACCATATCTTATTCTTAAAGCGGCTACTACAAAGAGATAAGGGTAGAGAGTCAACGTTAGAAGGTGAATAATATAAAGATAAATAGATGTGAAAAGACAAGGAGGGAGAGTTCTTATTTCTCCAGTGCCTTAAATTCTTTCGCATGGACCAGAGTCACGTCAGATAGTAGCTAGACACAAGAGGGGCTGCTGGGAGTGTGTAACTAGTATCATAATGCCAATGCTTGCAGAAATGGGCTCATGGGCCCCTTTGAAGCCCCATGTCCTATAATTGGTAAATTTTTTACTTCTCCTTGCTAATAATATTGGTCCTAACTTGGAATAAACAGGCTATATTTAAAATATGCTCATAAAAAGCTGTAAGCATAGCTAACAGATGCACACCACGTATCCTGGCAGTGTCATTCTAGGAGCACAAGATTTCAGCTGTTTGGAATCAATTTTATTTGAAATGACTGGCCCTAGACTACAATTTTTTGATGATGTGAATTTTCTGACTGAGCGGAGGTTTTTTCCAAATGCCATAACCTTATATTAAATACTTAATTCAGTGTCATAGAATAGAACTCAGTTTAGTAAGGAAGTTCAAAAGAGGAGTCACTGGAGAAAATATGAGACAGCCAAGTATATTAGGAGACTTGGTGAGTGGAAGAACAAGGTCCTGCTGTCTGTAGGGTTTCTTCCTACTCTTCTTTTTTCGGTACCGGGGAATCGAACTCAGGTCCTTGTGCTTGTGGGGCAGGCAGTGAAACCACTGAGCTAAATCCCCTCAAATTAGGCAAATATTTATTAGATATGGCATCAAAATCATTATCCATAAAAAAGAAAATTAATCATTTGGGCCTTATTAAAATTCAAAATTTTGTACTTCAAAGGATACCACCAGAAAATGTAAAAACAAGCAATAGACTGGGAGAAACTATTTGTGAAATTTTATTTAATGAAGTATTTTTTTCCTCATATCAGGCTTATTCCAAGAAAGAGATTCTAGTGGTAGTGGCAAGGAACAGGTGGGAGCGATGTATTTCTTTTTACTTACAGTTTCAATTTACAAAACCTCTGAGGCTGCCTTGGGGAATGTCTGTAGCAAAAAAGTAACAGAAGGTGGCAAGTGGGCCAAAATTCTTAGGTGGGGTAAAATTAGTGGGTCCAAAGGAATTGGGTGAGAAACATCAAGAACCAATATGATAGTCTTTAATACTTTGCAGCCTTGATGAGCAAAAACAGACTTGGAATCATTATTGGAACCTAGTTAAGCTCTTGAAGACAGAACTAGGATAGGCAATTTGCTGAATTGAGTTAAAGTAGTCTATTTTCTTTTTTTCCTCATCAATAGTATTTATTATTCATGTGAACAGATTTGCAAAAATGGTATCACCCAATTTGCTTAGCACATACTCATTTACAGCTAATTTTGAATAGCACACTGTTACATGTTTTAAGTGATTCATGTTCCATGGAGAATGATACTCCTTTGGGAGTATCTGGGGTATCTGGAAAATTAATGAACAGGAAGAACTTTTTACATATTGGAATTCTAGCAACCTCTGCTTACTACAACTCTGCTGATTTTGTTTTATAGCTGGTCTTTTAGTCTATTTTCAATAATAGTAACACAGGAAGCTATGTTTGTGCAGCAATCCACAGGTCTAGACTGGGAGGAGTTTCAAGTTCCAAGATGGCGGTGTAGTTGTCACAGACTAGCCCAACATTTGGGGCAAATTGTTCACCTAGGCTAGTCTTGGAACCAGTGCATTTTGGTTCCAAAGAAATTTTTCTTTTTATTCCTTGTTTGAGAGGTAGGAAATACAGGAATATGTATGTGTATTGTGATCATATGTTTACACTTAGGGAGGGGAGATTCTTTTCCTTACTTGTATTGTTTGGGGTGTTCTTCTCTTCTGGTATTGAACTCCAGAGAAATTTTAGCATCCAATCCAATTCCAAAGTAGTTGTTCATGACACACTTTTCTTTGAAGCGCCTGAAATTAGCCAAAGAAGAGAGCAAACACGGATGGAGGAAAGAAATGGTGCTGTCACTGGGAGGCAGAATTTACTGCATAAGGGAAAACCACTGAGGGAAGGTCTCTTCCACATTGGGCGCTTGAAGTGTGCATGTAGATGCCCTATTGTGTTAACAACTACCATGTTAGCTGTAAGAGAAGACACCCAGCCAGTTGGGATGCTTCAGTGGGACTGAGACTCATAATAAAGAATTAACATTTGTGACGTTCATTATCTTTGAAGACCTCACAGATGAGCGGCCTATATTTTTTCCACACATAATAGAAGGAAATAAAATTATCAGCTTATTCCCATAACACATTTTTGAGTACACCAGATACAAATGTATCCTGAGAGGAAAGTCTACAATATTCCTCTCAGTGATGTCTGATTCTTTTGTAGTACTTTCATATTAAAAGACAGAGTGACAACACATATGAAGGGAAATACAGATAAAAGAACAGATATATATATATATGAAAAAAATCTAAGCAGTCTTTTGAGTCTCCTGTATCCATTGAGGGTGTCAGCATCAAAACTGGTGGTGTGCTAGAGCCAGTCTGTACCAGCTCCTATGAATTGATTATGTGTATCTGTTCCCAACTATACATTCAATGACAACTATATCAGCAGCTTGAAAAAGGTCATGATTGGAGGGCTTACACTAGGAATAAATCCCCCCCAAATGCTGGTTGTTAAACACCTCTCAACACACAAGTGATGAAAATACATTAGGTAGATTTACAAAAAGTCAGACCTGAATTTAAACCAGTGGTGACATGGAAGGGACATGGGGTGGGGGTTGAAGATAGGAATAAGAATTGCTTTTTAAAAATGATTTAAGAAAACAAATATTTGCTTGTTGTGCCTTTCTTTTGAGAAACTGAAAATGGGTATAGTTTAACTATTTAATCATAGATAACTTTTTCATTTACTACTAAACTGACCTTACATAACTCCCATAAGATTTACTTCCCTCAGCCACAGTCCAGAAATTGGAGTTTCTCTAAATGATATCCAGACTGATTTTCTTAACATCAGACAAACTGATTTTTAGCATCTTCAACTACTTATGGTTAAAGGCAACAGAGGAAACACACATCTTCTGAAATAACAATAGCTAACATTTATCAAGTGTGCATACTAATGATAGTAATTGCGAATACATAACATTTAACTACGGGTTGCAAACACTGCTCAATGCAAGTATTTTTTGTATATAAACTCAGTAAAGTGTGCGCGCGGGGAAGGGGGAGTAATGGGATGAAAGTAAGCCAATGATATTTATATGCATGTACAAATCTGCCAAATGAAACCAATTAATCTGTATAACTAATATATACTAATAAAAAGATAATAAGGCTAAATACTTACATCATTTCAGGTGTAAAACATAAATATTCCAAGTTAAGGTTATCTAGGTCTTCACTTTTGAGAGAAGATATAGAAGACAAAGTGCCACGATGAGAACCTAGACCCAAAGATGGCACCTTAGTGTCATATATATACACACAAAAAGCCTTTTCTCCCATTTGTACTTGACCCCATTTACCCTATTGGGGGTGGGTCAAACTCAATTGACTTTCTCTTAATTGATATTCAGGATTCTCATTCCAAAGAGGGATCTTCTCAGGTGAATACAGACTTCACTAAGAGAATAGAAAGGCTGGGCTGCTTGTTATTGGCAGTGAAAACTGTTTCGAAATGGGTTTCATCAGGTAAGCCTTTTTAAAGTGCGTAATGGAATCATTACTTTGGACACTGCCATGAGATCTTCTAGTGAGAGATTTTTGGAAAAAAGGGAAGACTGTCTAGTACAGAGTAAGATTATGGCTGAAGGAAGATGCATGAAAAAGCACATTTTTTTCTTTTTAATTTTTACTTCTTTATTAGTATATGTTTTCAGTACATAATGATTACATTCCTCATGGTAGTTGGTACATGTACCTAACACATCTTAATTCTTTTTGCATTCCTTTCCATTCCTCATCTTCCCCCCTCCTTCCGTCTCTTGGTCTTCCCTTTTGCAAAAGCTCTATCTCCCTTTTCCTATTCTCTATCATTTATTTTGATTTTTATTTATATTTTGGGTCTCTCATATAAGAGAAATAATGCAATATTTAAGTGTGTATGTCTGATTTATTTCACTTAAAATTACAGTCTCAAGATACATCCATTTTTCTACAAGTGACTCAAGTTTATCCTTCTTTATGGCAGAATAGTATTCCACTGTATAGAAATGCCACACTTTCTTCTTTTTTTTGGTACTGGGAATCGAACTCAGAACCTAGCACTTGCAAGGCAGGCAGCAGAACCACTGAGCTAAATCCCCGGCCCAACACTTTCTTTACACATATTTATCTTTGGGGAACTAGGCTAGAATAAGAGAAGAGGAAGAGAAAGATCCTTACGGTGTCTTGGACTCATCTGGTTAGAATCCTCTGAGTCATTATCTCCCAGGAAGAAAGGTGATGTAAAGTTCTTAACTGATATTGTTTGTCTGCTTTCCTCATCCAGAACTACAGAGCAAAAGTGGAAGGGAGGAAGGGAAGGAGGGGGGAGAGAAGGCGAGAGGGAGGGAAAAGGAGAAGAAGGATTTTTCACATTTATTGAACATTTATTGAGCATCTGTTTTGTTTTGTCATTGCCAGTCAGCATGGGGATAGGCAATGGAGGCTCCTTTGACCATCACCTCTCCTCCATGATGCTTTTTGTACTCTTAGCTTCCTTACAGTGTTGTTTCCATGTCTTTACACATCCATGCCTGAACTTTCTGTTTTATTACTCTTTTTTTTTTTTGACACTCAATATATGTGGTGTGAGTAGGATCTTGGGCCAGGGATAGGAGGGAGAAGGGTGGGAATGTTTCTTTATTCATATGACTTTTACTAGACTTGAGCCTCTAGGGAAATACTACTCTTTCACTAAAATGTCTCACCCATACCCAGGACATTGGAGAAGTCATCTTCTTTTCACCACCTTACATGCTGTGGCTTAAATGCTCAGCCTGTCCAAAGTTCATGGGTTCAATCCCTATCCACCCAAGGAGCCTTTACTTTCCCATAGCCATAAGCTGCACCTCTAAATCTAACAGATATATTAATGGAGCAGACTGAGGGTCAGTTGTGACAGAGATATGGCCATATTAGATTAATCTGTGCTTTACTACTTGGGAACTAACTATAGAAATAGATGCAAACAAGCCATTTAATTTTCCACAGTGAAAAAAGGGAGATTTCTTTTCATTCTTGGAAACATGGTTGAAGATGCAACTAAAGGCATCAAGGCAGAGGATGGTACTATGGTTAAAAGTCAAAGGCTGGCAAAGAGACTTTCCTCGCTACACAGTATTTCTGCTAAATTCAAATAGCTCAGTTAGAATGAGCTAGAATGGTCTTACACCATTTTTGATCTGCTTTTCACAGAACCATCGTGGAGAAGTTGTACCCAAAGTGCTGTGTTAAAAGGGGGATTTGGGCTGGGGATTTAGCTCAGTGGTTCCGCCACCTGCCTTGCAAGTGCAAGGACCCGAGTTCAATCCCTAGTACCAAAAAAAAAAAGCAGGGGGGCGCGGATTTGAAAGAGTTTTCATACTGACCCAGATGCTTGAAGACTGCTCTGAGCTTTGGGCCATGACAGTCAATATCAGAGCCACCAGTACCACTTTCAGGGCCCTTATGCCTGGTAATATTGTGCCAGACATGCAGAGATGAACATTTTCTTCTAAAATAGTCACAGGCTTGGCAGTTAGAAACAAGAATAGGTGGGAAAAATTCCACAACTGGGTGGAGACTGACAGGGGTTTTGAGCCATGCCACTTAGCACTTATAATTGTTTAAGATGAGTGTTGGTTCCAAAAATAAGTGAATAGCAAGAGTTGAGTGTCTGGGAGGTTTGGGTGCAACATGAATATAGAAACTAGTGTTACTTTGGCAATGAGCTCATAGTGAGGGAGGCAAGTCAAACATCCCTTGGAACCTTCTCTTTCCTCTACTTCAGTCACCACAACCCTCTTCCTCTTACCTTGTTTAACCTGGAATATAATGAGTTTCAAGGACTTCTGGAGATTCTGGGCTTTTGTGGCCAGCTCCAATTTGCTCTTGGCTACATGGTCTATTTGAGTTTTGAAGGGCTTTCCATCTGCCTTGCCACTGTCTGTATGTACTGTAGCACTTTTCTCAACTGAAGTAGCTGCTGTCTCCTCAGCCAGGACATCAATCACAATACTGAGCTTATCATACATTAAATCACTCTGTAAGGGGAGAAAGGAGATGGACACTGTTATGAGGGACCAGTGTTTAACAGGACAGAGTCAGGAATTGGGGTAATATGAGGAGAGACAGAAAGGGTAGTAGTTGGCCAGAAATGCTGAACACAGAAATCCACATGTGAAGAGATGAAGTACATGGGGGAAAGAAATACTTGGATAGATGTGATAAGAAAGCCAAAGGGTGTGAGGGAAACCAGCACATATCATTTGTTTCTGAGCAGCCTCAGGCATCAATATACGTTTCCACATCTTTCTTGTGATATGCAATGATTTGTAACATGGCAAACTTGAAGAAAAATATACATTTCTGGATTGTCATTTTCATGGGCATGCTCCTATGAAAGTGGATATATCTCTGCATGGATATTGGTGTCTGCCTTTATATGCGTGTGCATGTTTGAGGACATATATCTACTGCATGATTTATGGCTTTGATTCTAAGCTCTATCACTTAGTAGTTTGTGATGTGAGGCAAGTTACTTAATCTTTTTGGTCCTCTATATTTTGGGATAATTGTGAGGGTGAAATAAATTAATATGTTAAAAATACAAAAGTCTCTGGCACAGAATAAATGGCATAAGTGTTAGCTATTGTCATACAGGTGAATGTGGACATATTTCTAGTGTGTATGGTTACATACATATTTTCAAGCATGTTCTGATGTATAAGCATAGATACATATGCTTGGTGTGTACTTGTATGTAATTGTGGGTAGATGTTTGGCATATGTCTAGGTACACAGCACATGTGTATGTATAAATACTGCCATTTTTCATTTAGCAAAAGATGTAAGGTGATGAGGTTGGACCTTTCCCATCAAGAAGGCTTACCAGCTGACTCCTCCTTACTATTCTTTTATAATTTCCCTGTGAGAGATACATTTGCTTTTATTGAGTAGGGGACACTGACTCCATAAAGAGTATAATACAAAAGGAAAAGAAACTTACTTTCAAAATTACAGACTCTACCGCTGTATTGTTCTGTTTTATATGAGTCCAGGCCTTCACAACATCAACCATGAAATCTTCTACTTCTGAGCACAGGAATCTGGAAAGGTGAGACAGATGGTATGATATGACATGGACACTGAGGTCTAGAATCCTTCTCTTTTTTAATGTCCTTAGTCTCTTATCTTCCTCTTCTTTCTCTGTCTCTCCTGATCTTTTCTACCTTCTTTACTGTCCTTCTCTTCATAACCTCTACCTCTTCTGTTTTTTTGTGTGTACATATGATGACACATGCACCATCCCCACATCAGTCCAGTTTGATACCACTTCCCAAGAGAAGTGTCTAAAATAGGATGACTGGTACATCTTAGTCTTAGTTAAGAAAGTCCATAAAAGTGAATTACTTGGTTCAACTTCAGTCAGCTTTTCACCCTGGGTCAATCAGCTGTGGTTCAAGGGTCCCTCTAATGAAATAAAAACATAATGACATCAGGAGAACTCCCCTGTGGAGAATGTTTCTCAAAGGAGAGCATAGTAGGCTGTGCAGGATCCACCCAGGGAGTCCTGGGAGGAATAAATGACCACATATTTAGAAGGGGTTTGTTTTGCTTAGGTTGTTAGAGAGAAGTTACAGGTATGTATTGCAGACACCTTTCCCAGTGTCAAAGATGGAAAGCAAAGTTTCTGTGTTGTTGAATGGTCTGGAATCTTGTGTTTCCCTTCTGTATCCTTTCTTCCAAATACCTGGTTTGATTTTTTTTTCTTGTGAGCAACAGCAAGAGGCCTTGGCCTCACCCCAATCTCATCTTTCTTTACTAAAATTTCTATTCAGGAGGTTTGTGGTTTAAATTGGGAGAAATCTGATTTGGAAAGATAAACACATACATTACTTGACCTCAACAGGCCAGGTTATTAAAATGAACCCCATATCTGACCTGGAAATAGCCTGAGAGGGGCAAAAATATCCCAAAGGATGAGAGCCACAGGAAGACTCACCTGGTTGCAATGATCATCTCTGTGGGGTACTTGGCCTTCAGGATTTTGTTCAGCTCAGTGGTTGCAGATTCTAAGTGCTGGATAGCAGCAGTCTAGGGGAAAAAGGAGTGTTCAGCCCTGGGATCTTAGCACTATGACTTACTATCATTTCAACATCCCTCTGTGTTTGAAAATTTTCATAGTAAATAAGGGTTAAAACCCCTTCTAGAATTCTCATTGCTTTTGGGATGCTACCCACCTTCCCCTACAAACACATGCTAATTGCCTCTTTGGACATAATCACAATCAAAGAATTCTTAGGAACTTATTTCCCCCAAAACAAGGTAAGTTCAGAGAGTGGCCACAGCCCCCATGATATACACAATGGACCAGCAGCACTACCCCCGCCAAAAGCCCACAGTTATTGTAAGCTGCAAATACTGCATAGTGTGATTTCTAACTCTGAAAGTGACTCTTTCTGCATGGCAGGCTAGCATGGAGGAGAAATCCACTGCAGTGTCTGCTCTATGGGAGAGTGATATATTTACAAGCCATTTTGAGAAGCAGTTTATTGTTTAAGACCAAGCTACTATGGGAATCACAAGTCACAGAAAAAACATACTTCAAGGTTTCTGGGGTCACCTTACTGCAGTGACTGGGTGAGAGATGGCCACAAGACACAGTTGTGGAGAGGGGGAGGGCTAGACATGAATGGCCTGAGAAGCTTAAGCAGCAGTGAGCTCAGGCTGTGGAGGACACAGTGGTCCTTTCTCCTGTGGTGAGAAGCCAGGCTGGTTGTAAGTGATTTACTGAGGTCTGAAAGTGCTGGGATTAAGTTCAGTGTACTGCTTGGCCCCCTTCATTGCCTACTTCCAGGACAGAACTCAGTGGTCTGTTCACTTTCCACATCTGCTAATGTGATCAGGGAAATGCTTCAGCTTGGACATTTGCCACATCTTGGTGTGTATGGACAGAGGGGCATTGGGAGTAAATGGGGCACTTCACAAGCCCACAGGCTGCAATGCTAGCTGGGGACAGCAATGGCTCAGGGGCACAGAAGGGCACAAACACCAAAAGCTTCAGGAGTGAATACAACCCTGAGGCAAACAACACACTACTGACTTATCCTGCTCAGTGGGAAAGATGGGGCAGGACTCAGCACTCACATTGCAAAAAGTGAGTGTAGAAATACAATAGGCCCTAATTGTGACTCACTGTTTCTCTCCATATGTAGTAGATTTTAATACCACAGGCCCTGGAAAGAAGCTACTGACACAAACACCTCAATGTGAGGGAACTTTTTGGACTCATTTGTTTTTCATAGTTTTTTGAGGATTTTTGTTTCCTTCTTTTGCTCTTTTTTTAAAACTTATTTTCTCTTCTTTTTCTTGATTTTTTGGTTACATTACCTAATTCTATTTTTTTCCTTTTATTCTTTAATTGGATTTTTAATCTTACTTTTCTCTCCTTTTCTAAGTTTTACTTTTTTCATCTTTTGCTCTTTCCAACCTCTCTATTTTTATTGTTATTATTATTACTACTGCTATTAAGCTTTATTAATTTTTAGCTACTTAATTTGTACCACTATTGCTGATTTCTTTTTTATTGTTAATAGTGGTGTGGTTGTTGGTTTTATTAGATATTTACTGTTTGTCAATATTTGGTTTGCCTGTGTCTGTATTATAATTGCAGAATTCTTTTCTATTATTAAAGGTGGAATAGTTATAGCTTTTTTTATGGTACTGGAGATTTAACCCAGAGCCTTCACACTGAAGTACATTCTCAACCCTTTTAAAATTATTTTTATTTTGAGACAGGGTCTTGCTAAGTCACTAAGTTGCCCAGGCTGGGCTTAAACTTGTGATTCTCCTACCTCAGCTGCCCAGAATGTTGGATTACAGACATGTGCCACCATGCCCACCTATAGTTCCAGCTTTTATTGGTTCTTATGGTATGTTAATTCCTGGTTTGTCTTTGACCCTATTATTATTGCTAATTTCTTTTCTGTTTTTGATGGTGGCATAATTGTTGCTTTTATTTGGTTTTTAATGTACACCAATATTTGGCTTGTCTTAGTTTTGTCAACACTACTTCAGTTCATTTTCTCCTCTCTAAGTGGTGCTGGGGATAATGTGTCAAGAAAGATGGAGACTAAGAAGACCCTCAAATATTATGTTGAGTAGGTTGAAGACATAATCAACTCCAAGGACACAGCACAGGGGGACAAAATCTAACTAAAGAGAACTCCACAGTAGTGATAGAATTTACCTACCCTAAACTGATCTTCAACCTGCAGCACAAAAGCAATAGAAAGCAAGGCAACAAGATGCCTCCAAAACTCCTTAACTCCCTCAAAACTAGTCATATAGGCATGGAAGTAGGGGAAGTTACAGGCAAAGAAGTCAAAAGACAAATGGTCAAAATGTTTGAGGAGATCCAACGAGAAACAAATATGCAAATTTGTAAGATGTTTAGCAAGTGTAAAGAAGATTAAAATAAACAAATAAAGGATTTAATTAATAAAATATTCAGTGAGCTTAAAGAAGAAACAAACAAAAAGCTGATTGAGTTAGATAGGACAATATAAGACATGAATGACAATTTTGGTAAAGAACTAGAAATTATGAAAAAAATTAAGAAGAAATTGAGGATATGAAAAATTCCACAGAAAGCATGAGTTAGCAGATTTAACCAATGTGAGGACAGTGTCAGAACTTGAAGACAAAGATGATATAGTAGATCATGTACCCAGTGACACCCTAAAACAAGAAGACACTATGGAATCTGGATTCAAGAGCTGCTAGATGACTAAAAAAATAGCCTTAGAATTATAAGAATAAAGGAAAATTAGAAGATGAATCAAAAAGTATAAAACAATATTCACTAAAATAAATTTCCAAATGTATGAAAGAATTCAATATTTTAGTAAGTCTCACAGAACTCCTACTAGCCATAACCAGAAAAGAACCTTTTCACAACACATCACCATTAAGTTTCATAAATTCAACAAAAAGAAAGAATATTGAATCTGTTAGAGAGCATCAAGTGACCTATTAAGACAAGTTTATCCAAATGACTAAATTTCTCAGCATAAATCTTAAAGGCCAGGAGAGCTTGGAGTGAAGCTTTTCAAGCCCTCAAAAACAAATAAACAAACAAACAAAACAAAACAAAAACTATCAGCCCAGGCTTGTAAAACCTCCAAAATTAGCCTTGCAAATTAATTGAGAAGTAAAGACTTTTCATGACAAAGAAACCATAAAAAATATATGACCACCAAATTTGCATTGCTGAAAACACTTAAGGAAATCTTAGACAGAGACAGAGAGGCCACCAGTACTAAAAAGCCCAAAGGAAAGTACATATCTCACTGAAAGAGTAGTTAAACAAAGGGAACAAATAAAGAAATCAGCACTTGAAAAATAATGTAATGAGAGGATTCAGTAAATACCTTACAATAATAACTCTTAATGTCAATGGTCCAACTCCCTAATCAAAAGACACAGAGTAGTTCAAAAACCAAAATCCAACCATATGTTCCCTTTAAGAGACACACCTCATCTCAAAGAAAGCACATAGACTGAAAGTGAAAAGATGGAAAGTGATATTTTTAACTATCTTATTTTAAGACACAACAGACTTCATGCCAAAACTTATCAGAAGAGGCAAAGATGGCCACTACATACTGGAAAAGAGAAAAATTCAAAAGGACGAGATAACAATTATATATGCAACAAATGTTGTGACCCAACATGATAAAACAAAACTACTGGACATAAAAAGGCAGATAGACACTAATACAATCATAGTGGGGGAACTCAATACCCCACTTTTACAAAGACAAGTCAACTAGAAAAAAAACAACAACAAAGAAATATCAGAGTTAAACTGCACCATTAAACAAGTGGACTGACCAGATATCTATAGAGTGTTTCACCAATCAACAACAGAATAAACATTTTCTTCAGTAGCACATGGAACTTTTTCCAAAATAAACCATATCTTAGGTCATGAAGCATGCTTACATAAATAGAAAAGAATTGAAATAATCACCTGCATACTATTGGATCATAGTAGAATGAAACAAGAAATCAGCAACAAAAGAAACCACAGAAACTATGCAAAAATGGAGATTAAAGAATGCATTATTAATCAATAGATCACAGAAGAAATTAAGGAAGAAATTAGAAAAAATTTGAGAATCAAATGATAAGAAAGCACAACATACAAAAACCTATGGGAATTTATAGCTAAATGGATGCACATTGAAGCCATACTCTTAAGTGAAATAAATAAGACACACATTTCAGTTTCTCTGGTGTGAGAAACTGAAAGTGTAAATAAGGATCAAAATGTATAATAGATAATGTGAAACAGGAAGAAAAGGTCCAAAGGGGAAGGGGAAGGGAAAGAAGGGAAAGGAATAAATATGAGAAAAGGAAAAAAATGGAAACAAATTCTTTGTAAATAGGGAGGGGTGGAGGGGTTGAAGGGAGGGCAGGGGAACAGGGAAAAAATAAGAACCAAGATATATCATGTAAAGGTACAAATTCCCAATTAAAAAAAGAATAGCACTATTTCAAATAAATAATGATGCATCTCAAGATCTTAGAAAAATAGTAACAATCCAAATTCAAAACTAGTAGGAGGAAAGAAATTATAAAGATCAGAACAGAAATTAATGAAATTGGGAAAAAAATTACAAAAGATCAATAAATCAAAAAGTTGATTCTTGGGCCGGGGATTTAGCTCAGTGGTTCTGCCGCCTGTTTCGCAAGTGCAAGGACCCGAGTTCGATCCCCAGTACCAAAAAAAAAAAAAAAAAAGTTGATTCTTTGAAAGGATAAACAAGATTGATAACCACTTAACCAAACCTACCAAAAGAAGGAAAGAAAACCCATATCAATGCCACTAAAAATGAAAAGGGTGAAGTCATAATAGACACTACCAAAATTCATAGGATTATAAAAAACTATTTTGAAAACTAATATTCAAACCAGAAAATGAAATAGAGGTACAGTAGTACTTCAGTTCACAAATGCTTTTGTTTGTGAACAATTTAGTTCGTAGACAGAAGTGTTTGGCAAAATTTTATTTTTGTTTGCGAATTTTG